AGAGTGTTGATTAAAGCTTGGTAGGCTGTAGTACAAAAACTAATCTTGATGTGTAGCAATAGGGGAGGACAGGACAAGTTCATATGAGAGCCAGGGAAGATGTACCGAGGTATGATTTGATGTTAAGTTTGTTAGAAATTTCAATCCAATAATTTAAGTTATTAGGTGAATGGAGACCACGTGAATAGAAAGAGTATTTAGGACCTCTTGTAAATCGATATAGGATAATTCTTCAACAAAGTTCATTTGCCTTGTCTAGTCCAATCCCTAATTGCTAAAAAGAAAATCAACAAAGAATAATTAAATTCAGAAAATCAAAAGCAGTGAAGACATACTATACTCGTATTGTATCCACACCAGAAGACGTTAATTCTACTATTTCTTTTTTTCTGATTATAGCCGACTCCTCGGCATTCGCCCGCCCGGATGATTCTCCTACTTTTTATAGAAAATTGAAAATGCTTGTATCGATTAGGCATTTCTATTTATACGTGATCCCGTGAATAGGATAAAAATAAAGATGTATGTGAATTTAACTAGGAATGTTCATGCAACAAAAAGACAGCATCCAACAAGCGCTTGACTTTTTCTTCTTGAAACAGTGATCCCGAAAAAATATGGTAAGTCTAGCATGAAACCCATCAGATCTTACCATTCAAAACGAATTTAATACATAAACATGGCAAGTAAGTCCAATGAATACTTACATGTGACATCCAAGTTCACATATGTCAAAGGCCGTATGACTTTATGCACAACTTTTTCTTTTGTAATCTTTTTCTCCTTTCCTGGTTTTTTGCGCTTTTTGAGAGAAGTACTCGATTGCAACTTTTGACACAGCTGCCATCTATTGCATCATTCGTCCTCCTCCGAGTCACACTCTCCCACCCCCCACACCTTCCTTTTCCTCCTGTTCCTTCTTCTTCTTCTTCTTCTTCTTCTTCATTGGACCCAAAGATCATCACTTTGGAAGCGAAGTAAAGAAGGGTCGATTCAGCAGATATATATTTCCAAGTAAGAGACTCAAAGACAGCACCTTTAAGTCTCTCAGAGCTGCCTCCGATGGCTGCAACCTGCACATTCCCACTCTTCCTCTCCGCGACTCTGCACATCTTCATCCTCTGCTCGGCCTCCTCCTCAGAAGCTGGCACCCTCCTCTCCTTCAAGTCCTCCATTAAAGACCCGAACCACTCTCTGTCCACATGGTCCTCTTCCTCCTCTTCCTCACCCGCTCACTACTGTAACTGGACCGGCGTTTCTTGCACCGCCAACCCGCCATTCCACGTCACTGCGCTCAACCTTCAAGCCCTGAACCTCTCTGGCGAAATCTCAGCTTCAGTGTGCGAGCTTCGCTATCTGTCTTACCTCAATCTTGCTGACAACCTCTTCGACCAGCCCATTCCTCTGGAGCTCTCTCAGTGCACTTCCCTGGAGACTCTGAACCTCAGCAACAATCTCATCTGGGGCGCCATCCCCGACCAGATTGCTCGGTTCAGCTCCTTGAAGGTTCTTGATTTGAGCAGGAACCAAATCGAGGGAAAAATCCCAGAAGGCATTGGTGCTCTCAAGGACCTCCAAGTTCTCAATTTGGGAAGCAACTTGCTCTCAGGTAATGTGCCTCCTATCATTGGGAACTTCACAGAGCTTGTTGTTCTTGATTTGTCTGAGAATGCGTATTTGGTGAGTGAGATTCTTGGTGATTTCGGGAAGCTCGTGAGGCTGGAGCAGCTTTTGCTTCAAAGGTCCGGCTTTTATGGTGGGATACCAGATTCCTTGGCGGGGTTGCAGAGTTTGGCTGTTTTGGACCTTTCTCAGAATAACCTCACTGGTGGGATTTCTCAGACAGTTGTGGCTTCACTCAAGAACTTGGTTTCTTTTGATGTCTCACAGAATAGGCTTGTGGGGTCATTTCCTGATGGTATCTGCGGTGCGAAAGGTCTTATTGAGCTCAGTCTCCATACAAATATGCTTAATGGGTCGGTGCCTGAGTCTATCCACGAGTGCTTGAATCTAGAGAAATTCCAAATTCAGAACAATGATTTTTCCGGTGATTTTCCTAGTGGGTTATGGTCATTGCCTAAGATTAAAGTGGTAAGGGCTGAAAACAATAGGTTTTCTGGGGAGATCCCTGATTCGGTGTCGATGGCTACAAAGTTGGAGCAAGTTCAGATCGATAACAACAGCTTCACTGGTAAAATTCCTCAGGGTCTTGGTCTAGTCAAGAGCTTATACAGGTTCTCTGGGTCTTTAAATAAATTCCATGGCGAAATCCCTCCAAATTTTTGCGATTCACCCGTTATGAGCATAGTAAATCTCTCCCACAACGCACTTTCTGGTCAAATTCCGGAGCTGATGAAATGCAGGAGGCTTGTTTCATTGGCGTTGGCCGGCAACAGTCTAACCGGGGAGATCCCCTCATCGCTGGCCGATCTATCGGTATTAACTTACCTCGATCTTTCGGCTAATAAACTCACTGGACCAATTCCACAACAGTTTCAGAACTTGAAGCTTGCTCTCCTGAATGTGTCCTTCAACGAGCTCTCTGGGAGGGTTCCATATGCTCTGATTTCAGGTCTTCCTGCTTCGTTTCTCCAAGGAAATCGTGGGCTCTGTGGGCCGGGATTATCAACACCATGTTTGGATGCCCAACCAAGCCGCCACAAGACGAGGATTACGACATTGACGTATGCCCTGATTTCTGTGGCTTTTGGTGTTGGGGTTTTAATTGTAGCTGCTGGTTTCTTCGTGTATCACAAATCATCGAAGCAAAAACAGCAAAGGGGTGTTTGGCGTTCAGTTTTCTTTTATCCTCTGAGAGTCACCGAGCAGGATTTGATCATGGGAATGAATGAGAAAACCGCTGTCGGAGCTGGTGGGGCTTTCGGTAGAGTGTTTGTGCTAAGTCTACCTAGTGGCGAACTGATTGCAGTGAAAAAGTTGGTTAATTTTGGAATCCACTCTTCTAAAGCACTGAAGTCTGAGATCAAGATATTAGCTAAAACTAGGCACAAAAGCATTGCTAAAATCCTGGGTTTCTTCCACTCTGACGAGTCAATATTTGTAATCTATGAATTTGTGACTGGTGGTAGCTTGGGGGACTTACTTTTCAGGCCAGACTTTCAGATTCAGTGGGGCTTCAGATTCCGAATTGCCATTGGAGTTGCGCAAGGACTGGCATACCTGCACAAGGACTACGTTCCTCATTTACTTCACAGGAATGTTAAGTCGAGTAATATTCTTCTGGACGCTGAATTTAACCCCAAGCTCACTGATTTCGCGCTTGACCGAGTAGTCGGTGAAGCAGCATTTCAGACCACACTTGTTTCAGAATTAGCTTCCTCTTGTTACAATGCACCAGGTAACAAGACTCCCAGTTAGATTTTAACCTCATTTTTTAAAACAATTATATGCTTCATTAGCTCAAGCCAAACGAGTAGCAGTCCTGAGTTCGGCAGGCCTTATTTGGATTCCAGAACTGATTGATGTCTCCAAGGTCTTCATGATTAAAAATTCCATTGCGATTGTTGTTGCATCCTTTTATCTTCATTTAACAGAAACTTGCTCTTCCCCACTGAAAAAGTTCTTCCAGGCATTTCATATTAAATGAACGGCATGCATAAAAAGTGAGGTTTTCTATCGCGACTGTTTGAAATCTACTAATAGTTCATGATTAAAATTTCCCTATTTTTTTCAAAAATAGGTTTTCTAACATCGTTTCTGCCCAAGTGCTCCTGCTAAAACCTTATTTAGTAGATTTAATACATGACTTTGATTTCTCACACACATTACTGAACTTAAAGAATGATATACGCCTATCTATATGGTTCCAAAAGATCTCAAATCGCTCAACTCATTTTGTTCTTGGATTACAGAATGTGGATACAGCAAGAAAGCTACTGAGCAAATGGACGTTTACAGCTTCGGGGTTGTGTTGTTAGAGCTGGTGACTGGCCGGCAAGCAGAGCAAAAGGAACTGATCGAGTCTGTTGATATCGTGAAGTGGGTTCGACGGAAAATCAACCTCACAAACGGGGCCCTCCAATTGCTTGACCCCAAGATATCAAGCTCCTCCCAAAAGGAAATGCTGGGAGCACTGGAGATCGCTCTGCGCTGCACATCCGTGGCGCCGGAAAAACGACCATCAATGCCTGAAGTCGTCAGAAATCTTCAGTTACTCGGTTCTAAGGGTAGCTTTCCGAGTTTGGAGTTCTCTGCCTCAGAGAACCCGGTGTCAGTGTGAAAATTAAGCTGAAGTCCCGCTTGTAAATTCGACTTTTTTTCTGCATTTCTCTCGTTTTGATTTTTGATCATCTGGAAAAGAACGTCTGAGAACTTTTTCTCAGATGGAAGAGAAATGGCATCTGCATTTTCGTGAATGCACATACACAAATACTTAATATGATTAACAAGTGTAGAGCTAATAAACGTCTTCCATCTCATGAAAATGCCGAGGAAACCGAACTTCGCTGTGGAGCGAATGTCGATGTCGTGATTGTGGTAACATGAAGTGTTTGCAAGATGGAGGGATAGTTCTACAAGGGTTGAACTAGTTATCTGATTAATGATCATTATCTGTTTTACTCGATCTAATTGTTGTAAAGACGGCGGTTACATCTTTAGTAGTTCATCCTTGGAATCGATCAATTTTGTATTTTCCTAAGCAAATATTAACATCTCACGGATTGCAGCGAATCTTGCCAAGCAGCTGTCTCAATTTTTATTTGGTATGCGTGTTTTGACGATTAGATTATAGTCTATATGCATCGAGAATTGTTACAAGTCACGGTCGATGCAAACAAGCCGAATTGGATGCCTCATAGCATGTTTCACCCGGATATAACCATTAGATGAACGATTTCTTCCTAAGAGGAACCTGTTGAGTAGTGAATAGCAGTCTGAACTCCTCATGCAATTTATGCCGGTTAACTTCATTTCAGCTATACAACTTCTTTCTGAAGCAAGGGTAACTTGGACAGCAAGGGAAACGGACATAAAAAAAATGAAAGAAATCTTGAACTGTGTAAAACTCACAAGTTGCGGCAAATATACAATAAATCTGTTTATATCAGATAGCTCAAAAAGCTTTCACCTTTCATCTCCTCCATTCTCTACATTTTCATGGATATAAAACTTTATCTCATGCGACTTTACATTTGACAGGGAATCGGAATATACATGAACCACAGCTCACTCGGACCAGACCTCTCGAAGGAGCTCATATCTTGCATTCAGCGAAGAGTAACCAGGATGCTCCACTAGTTTCCCGTTTCCATTTCCATTACTGATGGTAGTCGGAGATGAATACATATTATCCATTATAGACATGAGAGGAGATTCCAAGTCTTCAAGTTCTTCATCGCTCGTGTATCCTTTTCTCTGCACTGCAGACGCATTTCTTGACAACTGAGAACGGACTCCTGCCTCTGCAACTTTCTCTGCCACATCAAGAGAGCAAGGCAGGCAGTACGTAACGGGAGCAGCTGTATAAGGAAAGTTTCTCACGGTTTCTCCAGAAATTCGCCGCTCCACAAAACTCTGTACAAGTATTGACCATAAAGAGAGGAAAAACAAAGTAAGCAGCAGGAATATTGCTATTGTTCAAAAGAAAACTCAGCTGTTTGGCAAAATGTTAAAATATCAAGGTAACTAATTAACAGAATTATCGATAACTCAGACCTAGGCTCCTTATGCAGGAATTTTATAAATAAATCCGACTTGCGCTGCAGAATATTTAAATCAGCATATGCATGGTGACCAATTATAAGGAATGCATCATTGCTAGGGACAATGAGAAATATTACTAATACCAACCTTCTAAGTGATGTGAAAATTTAACATTGGGTACTTATACAAACCAACTTTTTAATAAATTGTTCTCACTTGTTTCAAAATTTAATTAAAACTTGCCGTGTCACTGAGTTATTTCTTATTACTTCTAGCACGTTTCATAAATAATATAGCACTTGGTCCCCTGTGTGCCTGGCATCCTTTTACTCTTCAGAGTGACGATGAGGAAGAGGAAAAGGAAAAGCATGTGATTGGTCGTTTAAAACCTACTGTAACAGATGGACAGTTCTCCTCTCATGAAATATTTTTACCCAAAGAGATCTTTCAGGTAGCAATTAACTGCTGCTCATGTTAGAAATGTAACTAGAACGGTTCAGGATGAAACTAAAACATACTTCGGCATTCAGTGCCTCCAGTACAGCTCCTGGAACAGGATCCGGACAAAACTCATCTGGAGTAAAGTTGCAGAGCACCCGTTTGACTAAAGCCAGACTAATGGTTGGGCACACCTAGCAAAATTAGAAAGTCACGTTACGCGCAGAAGGTGGTTGACCGGGATCCATCAAATCTGAAAGATGCCATATAAAAAATTCTTACCTCCTTTCTGATCGATCGATCCAGAAGCAAGTCTTTTGGGAGCATTAGAAGTTCACTCAGTTCATTAAGAAGAACGAAGGACTTCAGTTCACTATCACCACCCTGCTGACATTCCACCTTGTGACTGTGCTGATTCTCTTCAGCAGGGTTGTCGTTATCCATGCCAAACATGTCACTGAGCCATCTAGACCAATTGCCAACCTGCAGGACCATGTGTTCAAAATTATCATCTAAAGCCATCGATTCCATGCGATGGCATTTTAGAAAACACCAGAACTATACAGCATCACTCTGACAAAGAACAAAGCCAAAAGATTGTACCAAAAAGATATCCATCACAATTTGATGATGTTCCTCAAATCTTACAGGAAAAAAAAATCATCGGATTGGATAAAGCTCTCAGCTATCTGAAATTAGAGTGACTTTGATATTACAGAAATGGGAAGATCATACTTGTACATAAGTATAGGCATGCTCCTTACATTGGTGTTGATGATGATGCAATCTGGAATCATTTGATGCATGGGTGCTCAAATAAAGTGGCTAAAATACTTACTGAATTTTTAAGCTGAGCTCCAGATCCGAAACTCAAGTGTCCTGCTGGTATAGGCAGTACCCTGGAGTCGACAATTGGATCAGAGACTGGATCTGTAGGTATCTCAAAAGCTGATTCACGCAGAATGGCATTAAACATTGCCACATCTAATCTGGCAACACATTGTTCCATTACCTGACAATAAGAAAAGGGGTTAAACCAATCAGAAGCAAAGGGAAAAAACTTTAACATGCTTTCAGTTTAAACCCATGTAAGAGTGAACTTGGATGTCAATATCAAACGGCTTAGAGAATATGTCCGCTAAAACCTACCATCCTTGCCAATACAGGCAGGCAACCACACTCATGTCTTGCCGCTCTAACAGGACAAATTTGTTGGAAAGCGTCTTGAAAAGCGTTTGTCCATAAGTTGATAGAGAAATTCCCCTGCTGCTGATCACCCAAAGCTGGTCCCAGCAACTTCCCCGTGCTTTTGTTGGAAAATGAATCCTCAACGGGAGTTTGCATATGTGGAGTGAAAGCCTACATGGAAGACAACAGCCAAAATAGAATTTAACCCATCAGAAACTTTGCCACTTATGCAAAGATCATATGCAAACTGAAGAACGGACAACAATGAGATATGGGCTGATAGATGGTTTGACCTATACGACTAGCAATTTTTATCCAACATAGAAATGACACACTAACTCAAAATCAGTCAATCAACTCCCTAGCTGAAAACAGGAGTTTACTGGCTATCTTGGCAATTTTACTACGCCATCATGTATTTCAACTTTCAAAAAGGACAGGCTATCCAGGTCACACACACCTGCCACCAAATGGACTCGACTATCCGGGAGAAAATCCACATCTCAACTTTCTCTAATGCCCCCGTGAAGGTTCCTGTTTCCTGCCAGTCGTCCAGAAACTGTATAGAGCCATTAGTTTGCTTTAAATTAGAATTGCCCTTCCATTTCAGTGTCATAGACTTGGCTTCACTTTTCTTGTTACTCCCATTTGACTCAGCAAACCTTGTAAAAGGGCTTGAGTTACGTGAACTGCCAAATGCTTGAGAAATGATTTCCCTCAGCGCAATGGTGTTGGACAACCAGAAGGTTAACCTTAAGATACACAAATAAGGAAAAAGATTAATGAGCTTATTATAGCAAGAGAAGCTTTTAATTTCCTTCAGTCTAAACCATCAAATTTTTGTACCTTGGTACATCATTACTGCAGGACTTTGCAATCAAGACAAGCCCCGAGACAATGTTTTTAGCAATAGTGGCCCGCTTGTCTTGAGTCCAATGCTTACAAGCATGAATGTAGAGTCTAGAAAGACGTCGGGCAGGCGTGTGGACTTTATGTGCGGAACTCCCATGCTCGGGTACCACAGAATATAGTGAGATTTCGAGGGCAGCAACTTCTCTCAATTCCTCTTCAAGTTTCTCAATTCTCATCTCCATTTCTTCCATCTTTTGTTCCAAAGCAGCCTGATCCTTCCGTTCATTTTCTCCAGCATCAGAAGCATCACCGTCACTTCCAACACTCTGGGTGCCATTTGAGGCTTCATCTAAAATATCAACTTCCTTCATCTCTTCAGTACTTCTGTCATCTACTCCTTCAGAAGATTCTGATGAAGGTTTAGAAGGAAAATCTCTATGCCCAGGGTCACCGTTACTTTTTGTAGAAACTCCAGAAGTCTCCTTCCTGGATTTTGTAGATTTCCCATTGGTACTCTGCAATGCCTTGGAATGTGATGTATTGCTTTCATGGTCAATTTTCTTGCTCGATCCACGAGGTGAGCTCTCTGTGGTGCTTGTCGTGTTTATTCTTTTGTCGACTTTCCCAGAAGATCTTTCTACCTTTTCCTCCTCAGTGGTCACAGAATCTCCTTGAGCTGATACAGAATCTTTAACAGTCTCTGTGTCAGATCCTTCTTCCTTTCCCTGGCAAGATTCCTTCTCCAGATCACTGGAATGGTTATCCGAGGTTTCATCCTTGATTTGTTTATCAGGCAACACTGGAGTTTGTGCATTACCATTTGTATCCTTATCCTCAATCCTGTTGGCATCATCTACATAGTGTATAACCACGTTTTCATAAACTTCAGCAGGCTCAGCACCTGTGCTGGAATCACCTACTATAGCACAAGAATCTGATCTACCAATTGAAGCTTTAGGGTCTGTTTGTTTGGCATTCAAACCTTTCACGCCATTCTCCTGACGTGGTTTTTGGTTTTTCTTATCTGTTCTCTCGGACCGCTTTTTTTGACTGCTATTCGGTGTTCGTTTCTTATTGGTTTCCATTTATAGTTTTATCCTCCCAACTGCAACACAAATATAACCAGCAGAAACTGCAATGAGTGCAATGAAAAGCTAACAAAAGCCTTATAGGCATGGCAAGGACTGGACTTGCGAAAGACCATCACCACTTACCCCACCCTAATCAATCATCAGAGACTTCTCCAAGCTAAACAAGCCAGAAGCACCTCCACAGGCTCTTGCTTTGGCTATCTGATTTCAGCAATAAAAAGGTAATCAACAAGCAGGTGGAAAAGAGTAGGGAACCATTTATGAGTCCCATCATACAAGATGCTGCAACCATGTCCAAATAACATGATACGAAAACATGCCTAAAAGATAAATTGTCAGCGCTATCTTTTGCTAAAAGCTTCTCGAAAACCGCACAAGCAAGACTTTCAGGATTCGGGACAAAAAATTTTCTCGTAAGCAGTACACAGGTGCAACCAGGAAAAGAAAGATCTCAACTAGCTTACATCTAAAAGAACACGACATTTTCTCTTCAAATAAAGTAAGCAATTTCATAAAATTTCACGTAGATCCTCGGATCAAGTAAAATGCTAAAACAGACGGAGCACTAGCCTAAGAAGGAAGTAAGGTTAACACAACCTGTACTTCCCCAACTTTCAGTTAAATCACTCTATGACCAATAAAAACCGTCCATCGACGAAGCGATATGTGTTGCCAATAGCAGTCTAAGCACAATTGGAATCTTGTAATTATATTTGCTGTTTTGTGTATGTAAAGTAAATGAAATCTCATATACACTAAAAGGTAGCGATGACTGTTTAGTGCCATTTCAGCAACACCCCAACGGAGCAGGAGCACAGGGATTGCACTTGGAGTAATTCCGTCCCTCCAAAAACAAATAATTTGGGGAAGCATCTGTTGCGACGGACCCCACCAACCAATCAAACCCAAGGTGAGGTTCCCCATTCGATGCCATTAATCGGCGGCCAACATTATCAATTAGTCAAACGTGAAAATGAAGATTGCACAAGTGGTCCAATTGTTTGATGAAGCAATCTTTGATCCTAGCCAGCACAAAGCACAATTCTGCTTTTACTTCCTGTGACGCAATGCACTTTGAACTAGTCACTTCGTGCACAAAAAAAATAAAAATAAAAAACCAATGTTTGCAAACAGAGAATTCTGATCTAAACCGAAATGCTCGGCGCGATTTCAAGATGAAAATCGTTCCTCGCATCTGCATAATCACGGAGACCCAAAATTTCGGTGATTGCAAGCTACTCAGAAGCAAGCGGAAATGCTTGATACAATCGCCACGAGCGTTTTGCACCTCAACGGTCAAGTAACAGTCCACCGAAGTCCGATCTGCCAAAACTCCACCGACAAGACAACCGAGCAGCGTAACAATCCGAGTGCCCTACACGCAGCGTTCAAAAAGCACCGCGAGAGCACGAAAAAATCAACACGACCCCGAAATTCAACGCAGGAAAATCACGCGAGAAAAAGCCCAAGCGCAACGCGAAACGGACCTCCGAATCCACCAGAAACAGAGCACGGCCAAAAAAAAAAAAACCAAACAGAGGAGAGCCGGAACGCGCGAGTGACGAGCGCGGGCGACGAAGAAGACCGCCGAAAGCGAAAATGGCAAGAAACCCGGCACGCGCACGACCGAAGTCCAAAAGGGCCGCAAACAAACCGTCGAGAAAATGCGAGCGAAGAGCGGCGAAAGGAAGAACGAGTCATAATACTGACCGGGAAACCCAAGAAAAGGCTCGTCCCTTTCTTCTGCGGAGATCTCTCGAGCCCAGAAGAGGGGGAAAAAGCTTCGACACGGAGGCAATGGCCGGCCTCGGGATCACCAGGGGAAGAAGGAAGGAAGAAAGAAAGGAAGGAAGAAAGAAGAAGACGACGATGATTCCCGCTCGTCTTTTCTCGTGCCTCGAAAGCGACGCTGCTGCTCTTTCCGGACAGTTACTTTCGCGCAGAGACAGACGGACAGACAGTCAGAGAGAGAGAGAGAGAGTGGGAATTGGGATGTTGTGGTGGTGGAGTTAGTGCGGGAAGCTGTGGCGTTTTTAAAAACAGAGATTTTTTTTTTTTTTCGGGATGTTTAATTAATTAATTGTTAATGGAATTGGAGAAAAAAAAAAAACGGGGCGCCTTTTTCTTTCTTTTCTTTTTTTTTGTTGTTGCTTTTTTGATATTGCTCTTTTGTATGGGGACGGTGACCGGGGGGGGGGGGTGGAGAGAGGTGTCGGTGGTGAGGGGGGGGCCGGTGACCGGGCATCGCCGGTCGCACCGACGCGTCGTGGGCAAGTCTCTCCGGTCCACCTAAACCCGCGCGCGATCGCTGTCCGCATTTATCCGGTTGCCCGAGGGGATCGCTGTCCGTAACCATCGCAATCGAGGGAGACCGTACGGAGATGAAGAAGGGTCTGTTTTTCGTTACCCCCTTTTTTTTTTCCCCCGTTAATATACTAAATTTTTTTTTAAAAAAAAACATGGTCAAAATTTTCAACCGAGTTGCCTTGAATATCTACGTGACAATGTTTTCTTGAAAAAATTAATAAACGATAAAAGTTCACGGAAATATTTGGACATTAATTATTATCGATGATGAAAATATTTTTTTATTAAGCGATTATTTTGAAGGATAGAAGCGATCATATATATACGGTGTCGTAACATATAAAAATAATATATTGTGATCCCGTCCGGTGGTATAAACCCCCCAAGGCACGGCCACTCGAGGCATAGTAGTAGTAGAAGCACTCTTTTGTTTTGAACAGTTAGTTCGCAATTCGCAAGTTAGAGACAAAAACCCGTGGAAATCGAGAATATGGCTTAAGGAATGAGAGTGCTCGCACGACCATGTTCGGTTTCTAAAAATATTTGCCCAAAAAAATCCTAAATATATTGCGCTTATACCAATTCAGTTTGGAACCTTTCAATTTGGCCAATTTAGTCATAAACCTTTTGATAATTTACCGATAGTACATCCGATCAATTTAGTTCGACCGATGTTGGTGTAAATTTTTTTCTAAATTTTTTTTCTGATTTTATTATTTTTATTTATTTCCTTTCCTTTTTGGCAAGAGAATTTCGCGACGGTGACGCAAGGGAGATGTGACGTGCCATCTTGCCGTGCTATGTTTTTCAACTCCGTATGAGGAAAAATGTTGTCAATTTGCACCAATAATTCAGCACTAAGCCAAATGCCCCCCCAATAATAAGCCGGCATGCGCTCGAACCGGCCGGTCCGTTCTCTAATTTTGTAGGCTGGACACAGAATTGAAGGCCTCCGCACTCACCACCCACCACCACATTGTGTATCTCATAGAATCGTGTTACATTCGGATCTTGTCAATATCAAAGAATAACGACGGACCGACCGACGGGGACGTCGCTCCTCTCCAGCCGCTCGGTACTCAATGCAAATGTCCCTAAAACATCTACCATAATCAAAGAAACTCCGCGTTCCTGTATTTTGCCCATCTCGAAGCCGGGGTAATGTCGCAATCACCTCGTGCCTATCTTGTCCTTCCGCGTACCAGTTTAGTTGTTCGCCAAATGCAAGATAAACCGACTTGTAATTTGCTCGAAATAGGTTAGGAATCGAAGGTTGCTACGAACAAATTAAGCTAATTGCTTTCAACCCCACACCCCAGATTCGGATTTGACCAAAAGTGGGTTATTATTGAATGTGCGCTCCTAGATTATTTGATCGTGTCACATCAGCTTGAGTTACGGGCTTACAGCTAATGTGGGTTTTAATGGGGCAAAAATCATTGGATTTGGGTTTTTGATCGGTTGCTTAGAAGTTTGTGCTAGCATTCCCACTGTTTTGACAACTTCTCGTGTACGAACCCGTTAACCAATAGATGTGATGGACGGTGGAGAACAGCTCACACGCTCGGGAGCACATCTCCATTCCAAAAGAAGTAGTAAGATACCTTTTGAATTATTAATTAAGAACAGTATTTTTTTGGGGTCAATAATTAAGAACGCTATTCGTCAGTTTAGTACATGTACCAAGGTTCGTGTGTGATTGAGGGCTGGTCTCGGAACCGCGACTTCGGATTCGATTGGTTTATAGATAAAGTTAAAACAAAAAGAATTCCAGAAGCCGGCGAAGTAAACCATCGCAGCTACCGTCCACTTAATTAGAAGAGGATCAATAAATTCCTTCTCGAGATGGGAATAATGGGCTTAAAAGTAACAGGATTAGTCCCCTACAAATGTCCTTCAGCCATGGTACTAAGGAAGCCGAATCTAGGTGCGCATCGCCAATGAGCAATGCCACAGTCATTGGAAATGGAATTTCCCGCGTGTGTTCAATCATTAACGAAGATACGAGAGCCACTTGGAATTTCCGGCGTGTGTTCAATCATTAACGAAGATACGAGATCCAGTGGCTGAGTGCAGATTATTTTGCCCGACAAATCTGTTTTTGTGAAACGAATGTGTGATCAACCATGTTGGTGCTCCATCGATCCTCCTTGTTTTCTTAATTTTGCTTTACTTTGCAGGATTCTGGGTTTTGTCTTATTTCGATTTGCTTTGTCGTATCCATTTGAGCAATAAATATAATTTCTTTTCGACAAAAGAAAAAAAGGCCGAGGTGCGACAAGAATTGCGGGCACTAATCTTAAAATTACATGAGGACACGGACATGTTTCAAATTTTATAGGGGAAATATCCGAAACGAAATAACTTGGTTCTCATAGAGAACCGATGCGCTTTCACACATTTTCTATTTTTTATAATCATTTATTTTTGCGATAGCACGTCGTATCCGAACCTTTCGATCCAAGTGACCTCACGAAGATAGCCAGATTGGGCCATCAAGTAAAAACTCCGTGACCGAGTGGCGGGAGCGGCCTCAGATGCCGTGATTCGACCACGAATAACTTTCGAGCTGTTGGAGTTTCCGGTGTACATCCTAATCCATCTTACTCGAATCATGACAGGCATGTGAACATGTACAACGTGAAGCTTTGAACCTAAGGAACATGGTCTTTCGGCAGCTTCGTCCTCCTCTGGCTATACCCATCACGTGAGTGAGCTGGAAATGGCGTGATCGAGACTCGTCCCGAAAAAACACCTCGATAAAGAAACGGGGGAGGAAAGAGCGGTAGATCGTTTGCGTCCCCAGTCCGTCCACGCACGCGCACGAATCCGACAATCGATTTGCAGGACTTCTGCTTGAGGAATCTAAGGTAATAGAAAACGCAGAAGTGGCCAACGAAATGGAAAGTGGCACTGTCATGCCGCACGGGACTCGCGCTGCACCGACAGCGACGGCCTCGGTTTCAACTGGTGCCCCTCGTGTAATGGCCGTTTATGGAGACGCTGACTGAAGTGAAAGATGATGACTTTGGACATTTTGAATGGTCGCTGTTCCTCATTTGAGAATATGATGCCTCTTTTGGGTCAGCTTCGCACACAAAAAGCAAAACCCTAAAGAGAGATGGAGATATCTCACCTCTCGCTCCAATCTTGTGGACCTCTTTCCTCGGGATACCGTTTGATATTTGTTTTGAGATAATGTGACAAATGATCCGTGAACTTTAACCCTATGTGCAATATAACTCATAAACTTTTAACTTATTCAATGTCGTCCCTCAACTTTAGCCCAATGTGCAGTGTAGTGCATGAACTTTTAATTTGTTCAATGTGGTCCCGAACTTTATGTACATGTTCAAAGTGTTCAATATCATCCCCAAACTTAAATTAATGGAATGACAGTATTGAACATTTTCATATTATTCAATGACTAGTTTGAACATGTACCAAAAGTCGATGGATCATATTGAATAAATTAAAAGTTCAGGAACCACATTGCACATTAAGCTAATATTTAGGGATCACATCACATTGATTCAAAATTCAAGAACCATTCGTATCATTTTCCCATTTCTTTTTGGGTCCATTCTAATTATTATAAGAGGCAACACCCAAATCTTCGCGGAATCATTTAGACATTGAAATGAGATCCTTTGATATATCGAGGAAGAGGTAATTCGATGTATCCCAAAATGTCAATATAAAGAGCGACATCAAGAAGATTTCACCTTCACAATTATATCAGAGCATCCGATGGCCACGTTTCGCGGTCGGGTTCGGTTTCTACCTACACTTAAATGTCTTTTTCTTTCTCACACGTTAAGTAATTCTTACGCAAAAAATGAACATCGATAAACAAGTCTTTCTTCGTGTAAGAAGAAAAAGATACAATCCCCATTTTTTTTCTCTTGTTCTTTTTGTTTCGTTCTTTA